AGTTATGATCCGCTCAAAATTGGTGGCAACCTTATTTCGGAACTCCGCCACGCAGATGACACAGTCCTCCTTTCGAACAGCGTAAAGGGAATAGAAAATTTAATATTGTCCGCCCAAAAGCACAGTGAAGATCAAAATCTGTTCTTGAATTTAAAGAAAACGAAAATAATGTCCACAGATAAAACTGGCTGTCACCCAAAAATAACAATAAGTGATGAAGAAATTGAAAATGTCACAAACTTTGAATATCTAGGCTCTATAATAAACAACAATGGAGACTGTTCAACAGAAATTAAAAGGAGGATGGCCATAGCAATGCAAAGATTGAACAGCCTTAAAAGTCTATGGTTAAGCACCAGCAAGGAGATAAAAATTAGAATTTTGAGAGCATACATCTTCCCTGTGGCTACATACGGATGTGAGTCATGGACTATCTCTCAGTCCTTAAGAAAGAGAATAGGGGCTTTTGAGCTGAAATGCTATAGAAAGATTCTCAGAATATCTTGGACAAAGAAGATGAGAAATATTGACATCTTGAGAGATCTGAACATCAAGGAAGATTGGCTAATAAACAGCATCCTTTCTCGAAAGCTAAAATATTTTGGTCATAGCAAGCATCACGACGGATTGGAAAAAATTATAGCAGAAGGCATGGTACCAGGAAGGAGGGGCAGAGGCCGACTGACACGAAGATGGGCACAGGATATAAGTGACTCCTTGAGTGTGAAAGTTCATGAGGCGGGAGAACTGGCAAGAGACCGAGTTTCTTACAGGCAGCCGGTGAATGCAAACAACAAACACTAGGTGGCCTTATGAAATGCTATAAAGCTGTGATCCTTGTGTGGGTGCCGGGGCCCTTCTGGTTGTTGGGGATGGGGAATAGACTTATGGTCCTGTAACAAGCATGATAGAGAGAGAGAGAGAGAGAGAGAGAGAGAGAGAGAGAGAGAGAGAGAGAGAGAGAGAGAGAGAGAGAGAGAGAGAGAGAGAGAGAGAGAGAGAGAGAGAGAGAGAATGGCTAGAAAACAACAATTTTTGTATTTTTTCTCGGAATCTCAATTCCTCACACACCCACTCCGAACTGTAGGCTACTTCGCTACCATTTTGTGGTGCCCCAATAAAACAAGCTACTCGATTGAACTGGATTTTTGAGAGTCTTATCTGTTTGATTATTATCCTAGATATGTTAAATCCTACTGGTTGTACATTTAAAGACAAATAAATGCCACCACTACAACGGGTTGAACCCAGGTGCACATTGTAGGTAAGCATTGGACACTAACTGCAGCAAGGGAGTCCCGGTACTGTGGTGGCTAGCATACTTGCCATCCAGGTCAGTGATGCAAGTTTCCACTCTCCATCAGTGTTAATCTTGAAAAAATTGAACTGGGCTCGATAGATATCAGAACATTGGGCCCCCCCCCCCCCCCCCCTAATTTTTTTTAAAGGGGAAGGGAGTGGACCTTGGATCCCAAAAGTGTGTGAGGTGAGAAACTGAACACCCTAATATATTCTCAGTGTCTGGCCGCTGCTAAGCTCCCATATCCAAAGTGGATACCAACAATTTCAGTCAAAGTAAAGATCAAGGGTGTAATATTGCCACATCACTAAGGTTGGAATTCTCCGCAGGGTGATGGATGTTTTGTGTGTGTGTGTGTCTGTAAACAACCTGACTAGCACAGATAACATTGCCAATGAACTGACTGCACGCATACTCAGGTTCTTTTTCTTGATGTTCACCAGCTGTAAACCCTCACATAAAGTTCTGGTTGTTCGTCCACCTCTGGACTTTAGTCTTGTTCCAAAACCTGAGTGTTGCGCGCAAATCTCTTTTACAGATCTGATTTATTTGTGTGCAGATTGTTGATTCCTTGCCTCTCATGCAGATGCACTCCGACTTGTAGGAAACCCCCCGATAGTCGACTGTTATGACATGCTTGTTGGGGAGGCAGCGGATCTGTTCTTATTTCCCCCACAATGGCCCCCAGAATCCACTCTGAGAATCTTCAGGCTCAGTTAATCCCTATTTAACACCACTTTAAATAGTGATGAACACAGGTGGTGAAGAAATATTTAAAGACCCTTAAAGAAAACCCATCTTACCTGTTGGTAGTGAGGCGCAATGTGGCTACCTGCTTGCAGTTGTTTCTTTAGCCTGTTAGGCTAAGTGTACTTGCCACCTTTGTGACGAGAACACAGGTGATGAGTCACTTTCATCGGCAAGTCTGTTATTTTATTTTAGTGCGTTTCAAAAGTCCCACCCTCGCTGTTTAACAAATATCTCGAAAACCCCTGTACGGATCAGGACACATTTTTGCATGCTGCCTTAGATTTCTCATGTCCTTATAAGTTTATAATTAAAGCAATGTTTCCCCATTGTGAATTTAAACAAAGAAGATACAAACAATAGACTGCACAATTTATTGCCTGGCACAGTTTACTGTATCTTGTCAGGTGCATACTGCAGTAATAATTGATTAAAATGAATTGATAATTTACAATTACAGAGATGCTGCTGTTTTCCTAAAGTGGCAGATTTCTTTGTTCTTTGTTTAACTAATAATTTGTGTACGCTTAAAAATAGAATATACAGTAATTGACATCGCATGGAGATTGTCTGGATATCATTTTACATATGCAGCGATGGGTGGTGATTATTTTTATAGCCTATCCAGCATACAATAAACAAAAAGGCACTGATGCTGGAGATGGCCACGTGATAGTGAAACACCTATGAAACATTTGCAATCTGATGTTTTGAAAAGTTAACTGTAAGCATGCAGATTGTTTGATTTGATTCAGTGTCTGTTTTTTCATATACTGCAAATACAGCAAAATGATATTTGGAAATATATATATATATATATATATATATATATATATATATATATATATATATATAAATATATATATAATATATATATATATATATATATATATATATATATATATATATAGAATATATATATATATATATATATATATATATATATTTATATATATATTTCTTACAAGGACATGATTATTAAGAGGTTGCATGACAAATTTTAACAACTTGCGCCAGGTGGGTCCTGAGTTACTGACTGTTTAAAGTTGGACACAACTTCTGGAACGGACTATAGTAGAAATTAATTTCCTGAACAGCAACTGACTAGACCGCACACTCGACTACTGGTTTACTTCCTAACTGTTTGGGAGTTACACTTCCTTCTATTGTCATGTAAATGATAATTTTATTTCCTTTAGATTTCACGTGAGTGTTAGTTACAACCTTTTCAGTTCTAAGCTCTCTTCAGCCTTTATTGCTACACGAACCTACCACTGGTGCGGTTAGAAATTGAACCCTCTACTGGCTGCTAAAGATGGGGACATAATGCTTATGAGAATGTCCAGACTGCTGTAATGTCGGTTCTTAACGCAACCCAGCGACCACTTTTACGAATAACACTGCTGTAACCTGCAGTTGTTCCATGCAGCTACCACTTTAGCCGACTGGCACGACTTACAATCCAGTTTAATATACATGATTTTGCAAAAGTCATTCTCCCAATGAAGATATCAAGTATTTGACGCGCAGTTTAAAAAAAAAAAAGCTTCTTCTGTAAGCAACCATGATTATATATATATATTTAAAAAAATTAAATATAACTGATTTTAAAAAAATCAATCCACAAAAGAGCCATTTTATTTGCCTTCCTGCTTGTCCGTAAACTCCCCAAACTATACATAATTAAAATGCTAGTTCTGCTTCACGTTTTGTTTCTTTTCTTTTTTTTTAAAAATGATATGCAAAACCAGACTACATAGCAGTTCTGTCATCTGTCATAAACAACCTTTATGCAAAAAAAAAAGTTTAACAAATAATGTTTAACATTTGCCTTCCCGGTTGTACAAAACAAACCCAAACCAGTATCATTTGCACATCCTGGTGACTCATAATTGCGATGCTGGTGGGTTTTGTTATTTCTGTTTTTTTTTAATGCTAGTATCTAAAAATTTTGTAATCCTATGAACAGGTATGTCAAACTTGACAGAATGTTTGGGTTATTTATGCATGACAGCACACAGTAGGAAGTTAACCAATGTAAAGCTGCATTGGTTGTCTATGGATGTGGACTTACTGGCCGGGATATGCAGCAGTGCGAGGGAATGACAGAGCGGATTTTCTGGCTAAAAAGTGATAGTTATAGGAACACTTCTGCTAGATAAAGGGGACATAGTGAAGACCATATATGAGAGAATGTTAGTAGAAGACACAAGGGTAGATGAAAGAAATTGTGAACGAGGAGTTAGATGTGGAACAGACAAGGAGGAATTTATCAGGGGAAGAGAATGACATGTGTTTAATCATTTTGCTGCAGGACCAGTTAACATCTACACATTTACTACAAGAGATAAATTAATTTGTATGCCCCTGTCCTAAAAAATAGAACTTACAGTAAATGACACACACAAGGAGATTGTAAATCAGTTCACATGTGCAGCGAAAGAGTGAACTCCTTGCGATACATCGTATTGGGACTCTAATCTACTCTGTACCTGTGGTTACTTTAACCCCTTTCTGTCCTGCGGTATTATTAACTCCTCATAGTAAAGTAAAGGTTCCGTGACATGCCAGTGGCGCATTGGGCATATGAGGCTAGACTCATTTATTTTACAGACCAATCAGCCCTTGTTGGGTGATATGTTCATCATAACACCAGCCACCTTTAATTCTCAGCACTTTACTTAGTGCCTATTTAAGCCTTCAAGTGGAGAGCAAAAGTCATGTTTGAATAAAATCTGGCTATGCACGGATTTGAACCCATGACCTTCAGATTCACAGGTGAGCGTCACACCTCTCCCCGACAGCAGCTCAAACATCTGTTACTTAACATTCCACCTTCTTAGAATGAAATGAGGTAAAGTTAACTCCTGCTTGATACTAAAAGAGTTAGTCTTAATATTTCTTAACCCAGCATTGAACATGTACATGTTTCTGTCTTTCTCCTGCTGAACAGAATCGGAAAAGAGCTCAAAATGCACCAGACCCAAACACAAAACTTCATGCCCTTGATAGGAAGACAATGAATGAGGTAAGTCCATCATGTGAGTTATTTGTTTTTTTTTGGCAGCCATAGTAGTGTAGTGGCTAGATGCTTGCCACCTGACTCAAAGTCAGAGTATATGTCAGAGTATATGTCAGAGTATATGTCTGTGCGTGCTGAATATATGTGTCTGCGTGTGTATTTCTATGTGTTTGAATGATTATGCATTTCTGCGTGTTTGTCTCTGTTGGTGTCAGTATGTGTTTGTCTGCCTGTTTGTCTGTATTTGTGTGTGTGTGTGTGTGTGTGTGTGTGTTTGACTGTGTGTGTGTCTATGTGGCTGTATGTATGTGTCTGCATGTTTGTCTGCGTATGTGTGGTGTGTGTGTCAGTGTGTGAGCACGAATGTAAATATGTGTGCTGTGTGTTTCCCTGTGTGTGTTTATATGTAAGTGTCTGTGTGTGTGTCTGTATTTTTGTCTGAGTGTGTGTGTGTCTCTGTGTGCATGTGTGTATCTCCATGCATGACTGTATTTATGACTGTATGCGTGTATGCCTGTATTACGTATGAATGTATGTTTGTATCTATCTATGTATGTATGTTTGTGTGTACGTATGCCTGTGTGTATGTGTGTATGCATGTTTGTTTGTATGTATCTGTGTATGTATGTATGTAATGTATGCATGCATGTTTGTGTGTAAGTGAGTGGGTGAGCGCGTGTATGTGAGTGTATGTATGCACGCGCAGGTTTTTGCATGCTCTTTACAACTCATGCTTTTGTGTTCTTTTATAATATTCATAATATGCATATCATCATATGATCATAACATGCTTTATTAGTAAAATACAACTGGTGTGCGAAAGATGGTTGACTGGAAGGGCCAAATGTAAGACGGGCCTGCGTGCCCAATTTGTGACCCTTTGAAAATAAAGTTTGTTCGTTCATTTGTTCGTTCGTTCTTTAGGTTTGAATCTGCATTGAGTTGGATTTTAAAAAAAAATGTTGGCCTCCAAATCGTCCCAGCCTTAAAGGTGAAAGTCTCGGAAAGCAAAGATGACCGGCATGATGTTGGATGTGAGGAGAAATAACACAGTCACAAATGATCAAACTAGCCCTACCCACTCTCTCCATTCTTCCCTGCCTCTTGCTCTCAAAATAAAATAAGACATACAGTCTGAAAACTGCATATAAACAAATGCTGATAGAAGCTATTAGTGCAGTTCCGTATCTTTGAGGTTAGTGACATGATTTAACTACACAGTCCTTGACATTTACCAGGGTTCAATTCCTACTGTGGGTGGTTTCCAAAATGAATGTTTTCAGGGCTTTCATACTGTGGACAGTCACACTGTGCAGGAGATTGGGACCTCACTACATAATGTTCCCACAGTTTGCAGTGGATATATTGCAGCCAACTTCCTTTGTGGAGGATTCCAGATTAAAAATAATTTTTTTCTTTAGATGGATGATGTAATGTTTGGTGAAACAGTGTGTGTAAGGTTGTGGAAATAAAGAGTAGCTTGTGGATCATCTCTGTGTGGGTTCCAGTGCCCTAGTTTTTTTTTTTGGGGGGGGGGGGGGGGGGGGGGGGGGGGGGGGGAATAGATCCTTTGTGCACCAGCAATAGAAGATAGAGAATCTCCTAAGAATCCTAGATACTGTAATAGAAATAACCTAGATACATTACGATAGGAATGAGGGACAGCATCGTAAAGATTTGGTTTCTGACCCACGTGTCAGCGGCAGAAATGAATCAGCGTGGCCTTTCTTGTCTGGTACAATTAAAATATTATATGTGAAATACGGCCTTGAAAGGAAATCACTATGTCTGTAATAATTACTGTGCTCACCTAGATGTAGATTTAACCATATGGTCATCCTGCTAGGGTTTCTGGCGGCTGGAAAGACCGAATCAAAGTTGTCTTCCCAAAACGGCCCACTCTGTCTCCTGCTAGCGACCTGAAGTCAATGCCCGGCAATCCCGTCTAACTCTAAAAGCGGGGATTCTGTTGGTGGCCAGGTTTTTGCAGCAACGTTGCCGAATTTGCTAGCAGCAAATTCTATATGTGAAAGTGCAGGAAAACTGCAAATAAGACACAATGGGAAGTTCCCAAACAGCAGTCCTAGACTTTAATTGGGATATCCCAGTGTCATCTCTGACAAAAATGATGTCACCAAGGCATAATAGCCAAGATGGAAAAAATGAAGGGTCAAACGTGATGGTTCATGAGTTGAAGTATCTTGTTTACTTGAAGCGGCGTGAAAAACCCCACATTCACAGGACAGCAGTCAGTAATATTTCATTTACATATTTACCAATTCTTGTCAATTACTTACAGTTCCAGGGGGTTTAGCATCAGAGGTCCAAGGGGTAGGGAATAGAAACATTTAATTGGTTTATCTTGCGTTCATTAGGTCCTTGGGACTGAAAGAGTTAAATACATTACGGACAAATGTGGCGCGGTGATTTCGGTCACAGGCATGAGGCAAAGTTAAGTCTGATGTGAGGTGTATAAGGAGATACTCCGTACCCCACTCGGGCGCCAGTCCTTCACTGTTCTGGTTTTACGGAACCTCATGCAAGACTCCTGTTGCACGTCCCCGTCGTGCGCCACGGATAATATCTCAAATGAGCATTAACAGAGTTGGCAGGGGATCTCGGAGCTGGCGGCCCCCAGAGGTGTAGCGTCCTTTCTGGCTCTCACCAGCCCACCCCTAAACGCATGGGTGAAAAGTCTAACAAAACTCAAATATTGCTTGCTAAATGTACCATCAAATGACAACTCTTGGTTAAAATTCGCTGCTGAGACTCAACCCTGACCGAGAGATTTACCCGCAGCCAAGACGAGTAACATCTCTTGTGGGCGACTTCTCGCAGCAAGATCCTACCTACTTACATCCTCTGTCAATCCTCAGTGTCGTCGTCACCGCGCTGAGGTACACCACGGCAGCAACTTTTCATATGCTGGTTTGGAAATAATGTCCGACAAAGTTATACCCCACGGCACACATGCAAGCTCAGAGTCCGACGATCATAATTCGTACCGATTAGGGAAAAGTCCGAATGTCCGTATCCACTGGTCCAACTCGCCCGAGTGTTGGGACCAAACAGGTGAAGCCACGCCTGACGCATTTTGCTTCCCAATTTTGTCGTGCTAAGGGCATAGCTGAAACAACGTTAAAGGTGTCTAACGTAAGATGAAAAAGAATGTACCTATTTGTGTGGCCACAAACGTCCTAGACCTGCGGGCTGCTCCCCGCTGATCTCCGGAGAGCGCAGCCTTGTAGCGCGGGAAGCTCAATACACGGTTGTGAGGTTAAGCAGTCATGGGCAGGACGTGACGATTCCTTGGGTGAGCCCAGAACCAGAGCATCATGTGTCGGCTCTGCATTTATGGAAGCTCCTTGGATGGCGGGGAATGCCCATGATCTGCCCCTGCCTTCCCTTGAGGGCTGAAAACTCTACATAGAGCTGCCTCAAGGACGACATGCCGGGGGCCACACCTGTTAAAAGTCAAAGAGGACACCACACAAATGAGGCACCATCTCGACCCACACAAAACAATGGCCACAGTCAACCTAGAAATAGGCTTGACGTCTTCCTCCGAAGTCGGAGTACATCTGCCGGAGAGGCGGGGAACGAGTACTGCAAACAAATAAGCCAGTAAACCGGATGTACACGCAAAACTCAGGTCAAGGTCAAAGCCAAAAGTCCATTTTGGACGAACAACCGCGACTTACCGCCGGAATTCACAGCCGGTGAACAAGAAGAAGAAGAATTACGGACAAATAAATTTAGTAAAGACCTTGTTTATGCTAGTGGTGCAGTGGGCACAAGATGCTAGGGTCATATTTTTATCTAAAAGCAGTCATATATATATATATAATATATATATTATATATATATATATATATATATATATAAATATATATATATATATATATATATATATATATATATATAATCAGCCATCAGTAGGTTACCTGGTTGACATCACACCATTCACCTTTACTTTCCAGGACATTAGCTGGTACCTATTTTAAGTTGGATTGAATTGTAGCCAAGGTCAGATTTGGGTTAAATAACCCGCCTTGATGCAGGTTTAAACCTAAAATCTTTTGGGCAATAGGTGAACACCTAGCCACTACGCAATGGCGACTCATTAAATACATCACCTGAATGTAATTTGTTACAGTTGCTGAGTCCATTGTTCCGGCTAAGACAAGCGTGCTGCCACCCACAGATTGTGAGAGGAGAGTTTCTTCCCTTGAACAAATCGTAAGTGTTCCATGGTCATTTCTTATATCTTTCCATTGTTCGGATATGTTTAAAATATATGAGCCATTGAAATAAATTAATGCCATATGTGAATAGTCAACTCTCTTTTTAATTGGAGTCACATCATATCCTAAATTTGCAAAAGACTCAGTTGCAAATCTTTTTTCAAGGCATCATGAACTAACACCAATATAGTTATGTTGTATGGTTTTACTAGTACATTTTTTACCTTTAGCAGTTTTCCATTGCTTTTTGAGCAGTGTCATGCTTGTACCATTGTCAGAATAAGAACAAAGTGGTCTACCAACTCACCTAAAGGTGACTTACATCCCTGGTGTGTTGGGATTGTGAAACTGAATTCACATACGTATCACCTACATTGATAGCTAAAATTAAACATTCAAATTTCATAGATATACACACAAGTTCACAGGGATTTAATGAACACAATAAATGGGCTTAAATGTGTGATCACAGCACTCAGGACATTCCATTAAGCACCAGGTCTACTTCTTTATCAGCCAGTGCAGAGTTTGAATTCAATTGGAACCAGTAGTAGTCTGATTGTATGTCAGTCTTACCTTTCCTTTGTGTGTTGAATGTCACTACCTCCAGATAATGCACCACAGAGAACCCTGTCATTTAGACATAATAGAAGCAGACTAGAGGTTGACCCTGCAAGCGATGGATAGGTGGAATATCCAAGGTTGTAAATACCAGCATCCACCTAGCACATGCCAAGACTCGCACCCGATGCATCTTCAAAACCAAAAAAAGGCTAGAGAAGAAGTTGCGTGTCAGACCCCCTGGTCACTTACCATTGCACAGTTCTCATTAGACTGTGATTATATATGCAACACAAAAATAAACTGACTAAAAGAATTAAATCATAGTATTTAAAAGTAGTCATTTGAGTCAGGTCATTTTTATTTTGTTTTTGTCTCATCACCAATTTACTAATGAAGGTTAATTGCTGCAGCGTCCTTTGTTTATTGTATTGATTTTGTAAATTTGACATATGCTTTGTGTTTTCCTATCTTTAACAAACAATTAAAAAAAGAAAAGATATTTTATAGCTTAACTGCCGTGACCTTATTTTGTTATATAGTGTTGACTAACTATTTGGGTTGCATCCAATATAAACGATACATTGTTTTTGAGGATAGAGGGATGACCATCCTGTTCTTGAGGCTGTGGTTTTTTTTTCCAGCAAAGAATATCGTGGAGTGGAAGAAAAATAAAACAGATGAGACAGTCCTCCTTGAAGCAAATGAAACCCATAAATTAAATGGAGTTGTTAGTCAGTAATTTCTGCAGACATGAAAAGGAGTGGGCTTGAGAATTTGGTAACAGCTGACAAGATTGATGGGCAAAGGGAAAGGCAGGGTGATTTATACTTGGATGGCTTGGCAAGAATTAGCACTAACCTGATCCATGACCGCCTACACTTACAGATTGAGCACATGATGATGAGTGAGCTGCCCTGATATAGCAGCTAGATGCTCACCTGCCTGTCCAATGGTCATGAGTTCAAATCTGAACCTTGGCTCCCAGTCAACCCAACATTAAATGGGTACCAGGTAAAATCCTGGGAAGTAAAGGTGACCAGCATGATGTTGACTAACTGAGTGCCCATTGGTCTGTAAAATACAAGTCTAGCACTTGTATGCCCAGCGTGCCTGAAAGAGGAGAAAAGAGTGTTTTGCATGATGATGATAGATATGATGATGATGATGATGGTATGCTGGACTCACTGTGGGGTTCCATCTGTCCTCACCTGTTGCCTCTTTTGTGACTCGGCAGAATGATGACCATGGAAGAGCTGCTGGATCACATGACAAAGAAGGTGAAGACAGAGTGTGAGGAGGCACACAGGCAGATTGTGTTTTCCCTCAACGGCACAGCAGGTCTGGCTATTCTCAGAGGAAAGGTGAGTCTGGGTACTTGCGATCATGTTAACATCATTACTGGTAGTCTTTTTTAAAAGTGATTTCTCTGCTACAATGGGGGGAGAGGGGGGGGGGGGGGGGGACAGTGCTATATTGTTTATCTCGCCTGATAAAGGTGCACTGTGTTGGTTTCAAATGAAAGCCATTTACATTACTAGCATCAACATCATCTTCATCATCGTTGTCATCACCAACACAACCATCATCATCACCACCACAGTCATCATCACCACCACAGTCATCATCATCATCTTTATCACTGTCATCCTTACCTCCACTTTCATCATATCATCATCATCACTACTATCATCACCACCACCATCACTTTCTTCTTCCTATTCTTTTCCTCCAATAACCTCATAGTTATTTGAAGTGGGGGAGGGGGGGATGTAAAGATCTTCTGTGTGCTCTTTATAATGCATAGTATAAGTTGAGCTTCATTTCTTTTCACTAACCTTGTTCTTGATGCCGTCATTCCATGTTTTTCATTGTCTCAACTTTGTTCTATGCTTATTATATTTCTGCAGTTTGGTTGTCTGTGGTATTTGGTATTAGGGCATTCTCATCAGATGGCCAAACCATCTAATCTATCACTCTTTGATGAAATGTGTGACTCGTTTCAGTCAACCACTAGAACCACCATCATTATCCTCATCACCCTCACCACAACCATCATCATTATTATGACCACCACCATCACTATCACCACTATGGTTCTTATCATCATCACTAGCATCATAATTAAACTCTAGCTTATGTGATGGTAGGTTCAGATCTCTCTTGTGTCAGATCTTCCTACGCCTGCTAATAATGGGTTCCAGAAAATGTTCTGGCAGTAAAAGCATCTGATGTGATGTAGTCTGTACCAGTGTTTCCCAAACTTTTCTAAGTTGCTGTGCCTTTTTTCAATTAAAATTTTTCCAAGGTGTCCTAACATAAGTAAAAATATGACTATTCGTATGTAAGAGATAAAAAAAAATTACTCATCTTCAAATATTTTGCGGCGTCCCTGTGAAGAGGCCGCCGCTTCCCGGGGTGCCATGGCGCACAGTTTTAGAATCACTGGTCTATATTACTCTTTTGCTGATTTTTCTACAAAATAATGGGACCATGATGGCAAGTTTGCCTTATTATGGCATGGAAAACTACCCTTTTTACTGTGACTCATCCCCATGAAGGTTCTCAGGCAAAATAATAGTAAAAAGTGACTAATTAATGGTTTGCTGAATATGTTGGGCTGAAATTAGCAGATATCACAACCTAGCAGTAACCGCAACACAACTTGACAACCGCCCTTTTGACAGTGAACCTGTTAAAAAACTCACAAACATGGAATGTTTGCCATGAAGTACTATTAATATTCATTTGGCATTACAGCAGATCCGCAGTTGTGCATGCAGTATTGCATAAGACACCTCACATTCTGTATTACTGAATCGGTATTACTTGTTTATGTTCAAGCATTTAAGATACCTGATGTGATTATCTCGCAGATTACAGTGGCTGTGGAGAAGTACCGTGATGTGCTGCGATCTGTGGAGGAGCACAAGAACCAGTTTAGGACTGATGACCTGCAGCAACTCCATGCGATGCACAACCTGGCAGAGATGCTGGACAAGAAACCTGCGGGGGTGTCACCTACCCTCAGAGACAGTAGCCTCAAGGAGCAGGTGAGAGATGCTGGTTTTAACCATTTTCTTTTTCTGTATATCTGTTTGTTTGTGTATCACTCTCTCTCTCTCTCTCTGTATATGTACAGTGGTCACGGGCCGGTATCATTTTGATATGTTTTGTCAAGGAACCTCTGTTACTAAATTGTTGTATTATGGTGGAACTTGTTTTACCTGTCATACTCTCCAGCAGTGTGTTATTAGTTGATATTCTTCCAGAGAGAGAGAGATAGAGAGAGAGAGAGTGTGTGTGCACGCATATGTGTGCGGGTGTTAATGATTGATGTGCTTTTAATGTATCTGTGTTGTAATTTGATGTGCTTTCAGTGTGTCTTTGTGTTGTAAATTGATGTGCTTTCAGTCTGTTTTTGTGTTGTAAAATGATATGCTTTCAGTGTGTCTTTGTGTTGTAAATTGATGTGCTTTCAGTGTGTCTTTGTGTTGTAAATTGATGTGCTTTCAATGTGTCTTTGTGTTGTAAAATGATGTTCTTTTAGTGTGTCTGTGCTGTATGTTGATATTCTTCCTCTGTGTCTGTCAGTATTACTGGTTTTTATTTCATTTTATTGTGCCTGTGTGTTGTCACTTAATGGTTTAGTGCATATATATATTTCTGCTTAATATTTTTTCAGTGTGAGGAACTCAAGCAGAAGTACATGTCGAGGACTAAAGTGAATGTTACAGCCAGTCAGGAGGCACTGGAATCAACACAGACTGTGATCAAAGATCTCAGTAGAAAGGTGAGCTTTTAACAACAAAAGGGGAACTTCAAAGACCACCATTGTCTTCTGCTTTGACTTATTTTGTGTGTGTGTGCGTGTGTGTGTGGGGGGGGGGAGGGGGGGTTCTGGGTGCTCATTGTGGGGAAACAAGAATAGACCCACTGCCTTCCCAGCAAGCATGTCGTAACAGTCAACTAATTGGAAGCTTCCTTTGAAGTTGGAGTTATCTGCCCAAGTGGCAAGGAACAACCACCTGCACACAAGTGAGTCAGTCAAATGGATGTACACGCAGAACTCTAATACAAATCTAAAGTCCAAATGGATGAACAATTAAGACATTTTGCAGTAACTTACTGCCGGTGAACAAAGAAGAAGAAGGGTACCAAGAAACGCATCTAATGACTGATTTAACTCCCTGTGTGTCTGTTTCCTGGTCCAATTTATGGTGGGAACAAAGAATAGGCCCATTGCACTCTAACAAGCATGCCATGAATGACAATTAGCTATAGGTATTTCCTATAAAATCTGAGGGCATATGCATGAGAGACATGGAATCAAAGTGTGCATACAAATAAGCCAGATCTGTAAAGCTCGTGGGACATTACAGTTTCATTGTTGTATGGTCATCTGTGTTTCCTAGGTCACAGGTGGTGCCCCACATCAAGCAGGTCCAGAGAAGCCTTGTAATGCTGGTCAGTCCTCAAGAGAATGCAGAGGCAGAACATGAGCCTTCTCCGCCATCCAAGGAGGCTTCCATAAATGTAGTGCCAGTACATGGTGCTCTGGTACTGGGCTCCCCCAAGGAATCATCACGTCCTGCTCATGACTATTTAACCTCACTTCCATATATTGAAAATCTCATTTATTATGGGATATGTCTTTAGAAGCCTGCAGACCTGGGATTTCAATTACTAACACAAAATATTTTGGTTCCTATACCTGTGGCCAGTCTTTCTCAGTATGTGGGGGTCCAAATAACTATTTTAAGGGTCAGTAATATTGCCTCCCCCCCCCCCCCCCCCCCCCCCCCCCCCACCCCCACCCTCCATGAAAAAAAAAAAAAAACCTCAGCTTTAGAATGCAACCTTTTTTATTTTGTTTTTGTGACTATGAAATTTACAAATTAGAATCAACTGTCCTGTATGGCTATTAAGATGTATTTGGTCCATGGCAGACCTTTGAAAATAAGATGGCTCATCTAGACACACATTTTTGCTGGTGAATTGTCCACAGTTGGCACTTCTGGATGGAGACTGGTGGGCAGACGTTATTGACATGACAGTCCAGAGAGGAATTGACAGTGAGCTTATTTTCAAGATCAAAGATGATTTGGTGAGAACATCTACCACTGAGGGCACAATTGCTGACACGTGAGTTCATTCATTTATATTTCTGGAATTATTATTTCTTTGTCCTCTTCTTCAACAATTACTCTTCCTCCTCCTCCTTCTTCTTTCCCCTTCCCCTCCTCATATTCCTCGTCTTCTCTTCATTTTCCTTTTCTTCTCCTCTTCCTCCTTATCTTTCTTCTTTTTTCCCTTCTTCTTACTCTTCTTCTTACTCCTCTTCTTCAGCAGCAGCAGCAGAAGAAGAAGAAGATAATGAAAAAGAAGAAGCTTTCTTATGGGTGCTGATAACACACAGACATCCTGGGTATCTGCTAAAGAAAATGTTAGAGGCAAAATCCAGAGAAAAAGGATTTCAGAGAAAAAAAAACATAACGCAGACAGGCTGAGATATTGGTATTGAGAATTACTTAGCTGAACAGCATTTATGAGAATGGTGAACACAGGAATGCATGGTCAGATGAGTGCAGCAATATTCCTGGGACTGACTAATCTGATATGTCAACAATAGACAAAGGATTGACATGGCCAAATGACTTAACACCTTTCACAGGATTGACTAGCTGATGATGTTGACAACAGGGGACATTGTCAAATGTCTTCATCACCTTCTATGAGATTGACTAACTAATGTCACAGTCACCTTTTGTGAGATTGACTAACTTATATTAACAGCTGACATAGGAGTGACAGGGTCTAAGGATTTCATCACCATTCATAATACTGAACAACTCGGTGATTTACAAAAAATGACAGGCATGGTATGGTTAGATTTCAACATTCTTGAAACTGACAGACTTGTTGAGGTGAACATTGAAAAGAAGATTGTCATGGTAAGCGGACTTCGACACCATTTATATGACTGAAAACTCAGCTTACAAAAAAAAGGGGGGGGGGGGGGGGGGGTGGAATTGCCTGATTTCAACACTATTCTTGAGACACTGATGTTCACGAGTGTACATTGGAAAGATAAGTGATATGATGAGACAACTTTCACTCCATGGCTACTAGAAGGTTTCACAGGAGATACCACAGTGAAGAAATAATCATGATGCAAACTTCTGAATACATTACTTTAAAAGTGGCAATCTACATAGTTACAGTGACCATTGGGGAAGCCACATTTGTGAGAGGGCACATTATGTTATGAGGGGATTATATGGGCAAATTAACTCACACATCAGGTGTTGCTTGTGACTGAAAGAGTTATCACATTCATGTGACTGAATAACTCAGTGATAAAAGAAAATGTTTGACAGGCGCAGAAACAGTGGACGGATGTATGACTGTCAGATTTCAGCGCTATTCTTGAGATTAACCGATCTGACTAAGTATACATGGAAAGTAGAGTAGTAACACAATAAGATAACAATCTCAGAATATAGAATTAATCCATGTTATTTTATATTTGTGAGCACCACAGCTGTAAAATATATACAATATTGTTTCATGCCTGGGAATGTTAAAAGTATCCACCTGACTTCTTATGTCTCTTAAACCATTCAACAGTTTCTCCAATGCCAGTGGTCTGATGTACGTGGTGGACTCGCATCTTCAGACCCTGACTAGAGCTCGCCAGACATTGACCACTGAGCTGGACACTGTGGCTACGGATACTTCAGCATCTCTTGTACAGAAAGCTGCTCTCTGCTGTCTGAGACCTGTCTCTGAACTACTGAAAATGTAAGTTTTCTTGTTTTTGTTTTAAAATTTAAATAATGCGGATGCAAACAATACATTGCAAATTTATTGCTTTTTTTTTTAACTCTTTAATTTGAAAAAAATAAACGATTGCATACATTTCACATAAATAAATCTATAATTTTTAGTCTACCACAGACAAGTTGAGTGTCAGAACATTTTACCTGGATCAGAAGAACTTGTTGCCTGGATTAGAAGAACTTGTTGCCTGGATCAGAAGTTGTTATTGCCTGGATCAGAAGAACTTGTTGCCTGGATCAGAAGAACCTGTTGCCTGGATCAGAAGAACTTGTTGCCTGGATCAGAAAAACTTGTTGCCTGGATCAGAAGAACTTGTTGTTGCATGGATCAGAAGAACTTGTTGCCTGGATCAGAAGAACTTGTTGCCAGGTTCAGAAATATGTGTGTGTGTGTGTGTGCCTGGATCAGAAGAAGAAAGTCCACATTATTTGGGTGCAACATGAGAAGGGGCATGACATCAAAGAACATCTGTGTCAGAAATGATTAACATTTCAATGTTTAGATTGCTCAGCATAAGAAACTAGAAAAGGAATACCCCACACCCCCCAATCCCTTTCCCAACAAAAACAAAAAACATTATATGATGGCTGGCAGAAGAATAATAAACTATGAGCATAGTCATTTTAACCTCTATCCTCCAAATGATGACAGCACTTCACTGAGAGAGCTGTGAATGATTGAGTAAATTGACACCATTGCACTTGGGAAATTTCCACACATTGTCTCTCCCCTTCTTTTATGCCTAATAGAGATCCCTCATGCTGTGGTGCATGTCAAAAGTAGGGAAGCTGTCTTTAAACTGTCATTATGAAGTCATGTTTGTTTGCACTGTGATGTCACATGTTTAAAAATATTGACATCTTCAACAACAATATTGACAGATTACAAGACAATGGTCTGCTTATTATATTTGCACCACACTTTTGAGGTTTTCATTTGAAAATTTACACACCTTGGTGTTGTGTGCTAAAGTTGCTTAATGGGCAGACAGCACACGGCCAATTATCCGGGATATGATTTACACTCTAACTGTTGTACTCAACATGCGCACAAAACTGTCAGGAAAACTCAACAACATGTTGCCGCATATATGCACATTTATTGTTACACTTTCAAGCTGGTATAGACAAACCCCTATATATAATAATGCAAGTGAAGTAACCCTACACATCACTGGCTAATTTATGAAATGAATGTCCCTCACTTTGCTTGCTGTGACACAGCAGTGCCCTCTCGGACAGCCTACAATAGCTGCCACAACACGATGAGCTAACAGTACCTAGGTCTCCAGCTCCCCTCACTTCAGGGCTCGCTGTACGAATGAACAGTTTACATCTCCTACTCAACTTGACCTCTGTTGCTGTATACGTAGCAGACACTGTACCATCGGCTGACTGGAAAACTTCTGACTCTTGATCTCCAGTAAATGCACACAGCACGTCAGCCTTGTCGAAGGAACCCCGATGACCGGCAGGACTCCAAACCTGAGTCCTCTTCAGTACACTGTTGTCCCTGACATCTCTGCTGTCTTGTTTCACTAGTGATCCCACCGCCTCATATGCGTTGTCACCCAAGACAGCTTGTTCTTAAAGTAGTCCAGCTCTCTAGGCCTAACTCTGCCAACTGGACTTCTTTTCCTTCGACTGCACTCTCGACTGTCCTCTTGACCAGTCTCTTGCGAGTGCTTCCGCCTCAAACGTTCTTAACTCGACTGTTCTCTCGACATGTTCTAGCCGACCTCTCTTCTTTTAACTAAACTCAACCCCACTTTATACACACGCCTGTCTCTTGTGAGTCTCTGTGCACATGAGATACCCACTGTTATGCTTGATTCCCCCTCACTGAGAACTCCATACCTTTCTGTGCGATAGCTGCTATCCATGCACTGAGTACGATAATTAGCCTGCAGTGGGCTGATAATTTCATGAATCTGCTGGTCTATCCAGCCCCGAGTCAACACCGACTTGTTGTAATATTGACTTAAGCCGAACTGACATCTCCTGGCTTAAGACAACACTGCACCAAATATTACCTTAGGTCACCGAAAAGCATGCAACACTTTGCTAATACTCTTTTCCAAGAGAGAAGACTGAATCAGAAAAAAACAGTAGCAGATAATTTCTTCTGAGTGAGCAGACATGTTTACATTGCCCAGACTAGACACAAATTAATGCAGTTATGAGTTACAAGTTATCTTTAGGGTACTCCATTCACATCCACAGGTGCTTAAATTCCAACTTCAGCATATTCATCAGCATCTCATATTCAATAATGACAGTTTTTAATCTTGTTGATCCATGTTTTTGTGGCCATCCTCTTGTTCTTATAGATGATCTTCTGAGATGTAGTGCCTGTGATTGTATTTGATGTTGCTGCATTCTTAAAAAATGGCCAAACCACTTGATCTGCTGTTTCTCAATGAATCTAATACAAGATGTGCTAGTCCTGTGCTGGTATCTAATGCACTTATATCTTGCTTCAAGGATCAAAGAAAAGAAAATTGCTACCATTCTGTGAAATCTAAGCATTCATGAGAACTGCTTCTGGGCATTATCAGCTGGTCTGCAGGTCTTCAGCATATTAAATTCCAGAGTAGCTTAGAAGGTACAGTCATTGAAGGCATGGTTCCTAGGGAGAAAGTGGCAAAGGTTAACTTACAAAATGATGGACATAGGTTAAAGAAGGGAGCATTGGCATGTGAATGTTGCAGTTGAGAGGATTGATTTCATTCTCCTGGGTGAATCCCATATGGCTTGGTCTCTCTCAGCAGAATGCTTATCCGCCTACTGAGAGCGCCACACAGCACAAACTGCATAGCATCCTTCACAGCACAAGGTGAACAGCAAGAGCACTTCACTACAGAGACTTGTGCATGTGAATGCTGAGGATAGGGATAGTAATGGTTGACCTACTACATGTTGATAATTTGATAAGTAAGTTTAATGATTATATTGTCTATAATGTTGGCTGCTGTAAGTGTTTAATACCACTGTCTCCTCACTTTCAGATGCCCTTTTTGCAAGGTCGATGAACTGTTCAATGAGTACGAGTCCAAACTGTTTCTCTTTGTTGAAAGGTAATGCTGCCTTTATTTATTCACTGTGTGTATCTGGATTTGAGTGGTATTTTTTTTTCTTCAGAATTAAGAAAGAGCTTTAGAAGCAGTGGAAATGTTATAATAAGATCAGTGTTGAAGGAACTAACAATTTAAATTTGGAACACAAACAAACAACAACTGAGTAACTCACAATTTAAATTTAAAAAAACAAAAACTAGGGATCTAACAATTTAAATTTGAAAAACAAAAAACAATCTACAACTGAGTAACTAACAATTTAAATTTTGTATAAAAAAAAAACAACCCAACAACTGAGGAACTAACAATTTAAATTTGGAAAAAAAAAATTAACAACACCTGAGTATTTAACAATTTAAATTTGGAAAAATCAACAACCGAGGAACAAACAGTAAACATTTGGGAAAAAAACAACTGGGGAACTAACAATTTAAATTAGGAAAAAAACAGCAACTGAGGAACAAACAGTAAACATTTGGGAAAAAAAACAACTGGGGAACTAACAATTTAAATTAGGAAAAAAACAACAACTGAGGAACAAACAGTAAACATTTGGGAAAAAAAAACAACTGGGGAACTAACAATTTAAATTAGGAAAAAAACAACAACTGAGGAACAAACAGTAAACATTTGGGAAAAAAAACAACTGGGGAACTAACAATTTAAATTTGGAAAAAAACAACAACGGGGGAACTAACAGTAAACATTTGGGGAAAAAACAACTGGGGAACTAACAATTTAAATTAGGAAAAAAACAACAACTGGGGAACTAACAATTTAAATTAGGAAAAAAACAACAACTGAGGAACAAACAGTAAACATTTAGGAAAAAAACAACTGGGGAACTAACAATTTAAATTAGGAAAAAAACAACAACTGAGGAACAAACAGTAAACATTTGGGAAAAAACAACAACTGGGGAACTAACAATTTAAATTAGGAAAAAAACAACAACTGAGGAACAAACAGTAAACATTTGGGAAAAAAAAACAACTGGGGAACTAACAATTTAAATTAGGAAAAAAACAACAACTGGGGAACTAACAGTAAACATTTGGGAAAAAAAACAACTGGGGAACTAACAATTTAAATTTGGAAAAAAACAACAACGGGGGAACTAACAGTAAACATTTGGGGAAAAAACAACTGGGGAACTAACAATTTAAATTAGGAAAAAAACAACAACTGGGGAACTAACAATTTAAATTAGGAAAAAAACAACAACTGAGGAACAAACAGTAAACATTTGGGAAAAAAACAACTGGGGAACTAACAATTTAAATTAGGAAAAAAACAACAACTGAGGAACAAACAGTAAACATTTGGGAAAAAAAAACAACTGGGGAACTAACAATTTAAATTAGGAAAAAAACAACAACTGAGGAACAAACAGTAAACATTTGAGAAAAAAAAACAACTGGGGAACTAACAATTTAAATTAGGAAAAAAACAACAACTGGGGAACTAACAGTAAACATTTGGGAAAAAAAACAACTGGGGAACTAACAATTTAAATTAGGAAAAAAACAACAACTGGGGCACTAACAATTTAAATTAGGAAAAAAACAACAACTGAGGAACAAACAGTAACATTTGGGAAAAAAACAACTGGGGAACTAACAATTTAAATTAGGAAAAAAACAACAACTGAGGAACAAACAGTAAACATTTGGGAAAAAAACAACTGGGGAACTAACAATTTAAATTAGGAAAAGAACAACAACTGGGGAACTAACAATTTAAATTAGGAAAAAAACAACAACTGGGGAACTAACAATTTAAATTAGGAAAAAAAAACAACTGATAAATACAACCAGTGCTGTTGACTAAATGCCTCAGATACACACCACTGAGGAAATGCAGGATGAGAGACATTTATGGGATTGAGCCACTTCTGGATGTTCCGGATTCATGGCTTCTGTGGGAAAAAGGACTAAAGTAACAGTTTGTTAGGACAAATGAAATTAATGAACAGCTGTTTGGACTGACATAGTTAACTCTTTCAATCCCTTCAAGCACTTTAACTCTTGACTATCTCGAGAAATCCTAGTTTAAAGCAGCCGGTGCATGAATCTGAAGAAGCTGAAACAGTAACACTATCAGACAGAAGTAACTAAGCTAGCAAGCCAAAACAGAAAATATGTCATATATTGGGTACGGGCAGCATGGGGACACTGATGGCTGCTGCATTGGAGGATGAAGTTGGAAAGGGTCAGATCTATGTGTGAGAATCTCAATATGGACAGTAAGTAACAAGAAAAATACAAGGTTGCCAAACTCACCATTGAAGACATGGTGAGTTTCATGGTACAGAATGAATTAAAGGATGATATTTCTCCATCTTTTGCATTTGCCTCTTAGGGTGGTTGGCATGCTGTGTTGTGGTTTACAGCTAGACTGCGATATTTGTGACTTTCAGCCCAACCCATTTGATTTCAGCAAATTCATAATTATTAGCCTTTAATAACATGCATGCTGGTGGTCTATCCCCCCCCCCCCCCCTATCCTCCCCCGCAGTGGGGCACTGGAACCCATACCCGGGAGGGCTAGAAATGATGCACAGTCAGAAGTTAATAGATGTCAAATGTCTGTGCAGGGGTGTCACTGTGACAGGGGATGACAGCAACCTGGCATACCAAGTGAGCACCAAGAGACAAGGCACATGGGCAGACAGCGAGGTGGAGAGAGCTATCAAGAGCATCTTGGCATTTTACAGACTCCATTTTGGTATGTTCTTGCTGAATTCCAGCCTTTTTTGTGTGGATGTCATGAGATATGTAGTTGCTTTGTTTGGTTGCTAGCGAGGGCTTTTTTGTTATTAGTTTAGGTCTTTTAGCTAATTCAAGGTCATTTCTTGCCATGGCATTGTCAGAAAGATCTGCAGTTTTGTGAATTTCTGATATTCTGCAAGAACAACTTATTTGCGTGTTTTACCTTCAGTTAACTCTAATTGTTGACTTAATAGCTTTTTTTCTTTGAGAGGCAATTCAGGGTCGTTTCTTGCCATGGCATGTTCAGAAATACATACAGTCGTTATGGTGAGTTTTCTTACATTCTGCATGAATAAAGAGATAAAGTCCCTTTTTGTGTGTGTGTGTTAAATCTTGTTTGTTCCAACTGCACATAAAGGTTGATTGCAGTGGATATTTTATGTGCAGCCACTAATATCTTTGAGAATGTTACATGATGAGGCCATAAACTTTTCCATGGTTTGACTCATACAACTGTTAGAAAGCCACAGATAGCCACAAGAATGATATTTTGAAGTCATTTGCCCAGTTATACCTGAAGGTTTACTTTGTTTTCTAGCTTAGTTAGAACTAAATGAATATAAAGGAAGCTACGGGAAGCTCATATGGTGTCTGTCTATATGTTATGTTTGTTGTGTCTCTCTGTTATGTCTGTGTTTGTATGTGTTGTCTGTGTGTGTATTGTCTGTTTTTTGTGGCTGCGTATGCCTCTGTCTGTGTGTATGTGTGTGTTTATTTGCTCTGTTTTTGTGTGACTACATCTTCCTTGTTTGTGTGTCTGCATCAGGTGTATGTAGTTTTGTGTGTATATTCGAAGATATGCATTTGCCATCCATGCTTTTGTATTGTTACTGATATTCAAACTTTGAAATTTTGATATATGAACATACCATGCTTTATAGATAAAGTACAGTTGTCATGTGAAAGGTGAATGCTTGGAAGGGCCGAATGTAAGACAGGCCTGCATGCCCAATTTGTAACCCATTGAAAATAAAGTCTGTTTAATCATTCGCCACCTTCAAGATATATTTCTTCACTGGCATCGATGCTTTTTTTCTGGACACGCCCAAGGAATTGTTGGATATTTTTGTTGTATGTTGTCAGATACAGAACGGGATATTCTAGAGGCTGCAACTCTTCAGATCAAGCACCTGGAGACATTGAAGAAAGAGTTTAAGGTGAGGCACTTTTTATTTTGGGCTTGTTTAACTGATGTTCTTATTTATAGTAAAATATTCATCTTGTTCAGCATTAGTAGCCCTTGAGGTTCATTGCTGCCTCCATTTGTCTCACTGATTTGGCCTTTTCTTTCTCTCAGTGACTTCACACATCTGCAGATCTGCGTGTAGGTTATCTCTAAACTGTCTTCTTGGTGTACCTTGTGATTCCATTTATCGTTTTGTGTATGCAATTTTCTCAAAGTCTTTTAACTCCATGAGTGAACATTGTCACTTCTCATGTAGTTTTGTCACTTCTCATTATTGACTTGTTCAGCTGATGTCCTTATTTATGGTAAAATATCCTTCCTTTTGTTTAGCATTCTTGCTGCACATATAGACCGCCTCTAATCATCTGATCTTTACAATCTGTGACTTCAAGCATCTGCAGTTCTCCATGAATATTATCTCTCCACCTTCTTCTTGGTCTGCCTTATAGTCCTTTTCAGCTTTCTTTATGTGCAAAGATTTTTTAAGGTCTTTTAATATTTCAGGATTGTCCATTTAAGTCCATCCAAATTTGAGGTTTGGATAGCTGTTTTATTACCAAATAGAGGCTTTAGAAAAGGTCATGTCGGTCTCATGCTTCAGACCACAAACTTGTGGACCATGATATCTCTATTTGTTTGTTCTCTACTTTTTAACATGTCTTATTTGGAAGGGCCTGCTTGTAGTCGTGATACCGGCTGAATAGCTGTTAGGGTCATTGAGAAATACAAGCTGCCCAAGGTAAAATATGGATACTACAATATTTGCAATTTGAAAATGTTGTTTCATGATCATCTCCTACCTTGCCAGCTGAGGTAGGCATTCATGTCTCTCCATAGTTGTTGCTGTTGTGGATTTTCTTCTTCTTCCTTCTTCTTTATCATCATTGTCATCGTCTCCTCCTCATATTCCTCTTCCTCCTCCTTCTTCTTCTTCTTCTTCTTCTTCTTCTTCTTCTTCCTCCATCTCTTCTTCTTCTTCTTCTTCTTCTTCTTCTTCTTCTTCTTCTTCTTCTTCTTCTTCTTCTTCTTCTTCTTCTTCTTCT